CCGAGACAGCATTTCTGCACCTGCTTAATTCCCCGAGCTGCAGGAGCTCAGCTGGGGCTGATTACCACAACATTTTTCATAAAGCCTCATTGAGCGCTGGAGGCCCTCCCTTTCTGCTCAACGCTGGCTGAAGGTAGGCACTATCCCTTCCATGTCCGAAGGTTCTGCCACCAGGAGGCTTGGCTGTGGAATCTCTTGTGGAAGCTCTGCTGGAGCTGGCAAAGCAGAGTTGGGATCGGGGTGGGGCTCCAAAGCTGCAGGCTCAGGGCTCAGGGCTCATCCTCTGAGTCTTCCCCCAGGCAGGGCATGACGCTTAGGGGATGCAGAACTCCTATCACGGACCCGAAAGGAAGATGTAGAGGTCTTCACTGGGGACCAAGGTGTCAGATGAGCCAGTGTCTCAGAAGAAGGAGGGATCTCACCTTCAGAGGCAGACTCCAAATAGACTTGAACAATGTTAGGTGACTAGGGAGAAGGTTGGGAAGACCTAGGTTCATCGAATGGAACTGATATTTGAGCACAAATGGGTTCCTCCAGAGATATAGTAACCGAGGACCCCTTCGGATGTTTAATTGGCTTAGTACTGAGAGCTGCATCCAAAGCTTTTTTCTTTTTGTCAGACTCTTGGGACGGAGCCTTATTGGTCCTGTGGGTTGAATCCGAGGAATGGTGTTTCTTGGATGAAGTGTAGGCTGAATCCAAAGACTTCCTGTGTTTGGAAGGATCAGAATCTCAGCCCTCTGAATGGTGTTTGCACTTAGAAGCATGTTTGGTATTAGTTTCATGGTCAGACTTAGCCACCACGTCTGTGGTGACTGAAGGATTCCATGAGTAGAGCCTGCAGCCAAAGGCCTTTTAGAAGATTTCTCCATGGCAGCACTTCATGTCCTGTGAAGAAGAGGCCATGGCAGAATGACAGTCTCAATGGCCCAGTTTGCAGCAGGGGTGCTGTGGGGCAGCCTTTCCCCCAATTGGCCAGCATCCCTGCCAGACCATACCAGCAACTGCAACTGATGGATGGCAGAGGTGCCCTGGCTGGTGGAGGGTGACAGTGAGGCGGCATCTTGGGGTGGACGAGAGCGACTGTCCCACTGGGTGTTCATCCCTGTCAGAGGTGTCACTCAGTGTGGTCTGTACTTCCAGCTTCCCCTAGTGACACCCTTGCTGTCACTCCACAACAACTTTGTAGCTTTGGAACAATGGGGTGCAATAGGCATGGGTTCCATCTTGTTTCCCTGCTGTTTAATATTGACATAAATCCACTCCATAGATTCAGCCATTCTTAAATTCTTAAATTCAGCAAACAACCCGTCTCCACCTTTTTGAGGGGCCTTTCTATGAAGTGATGTCTTGTGCCTTCCATTTCAGTGGGACAATGAATTTGTATTGGGCTTTAATCCAAAACTTTAAAGGGCCTATGGAGGGGGATGAACCTGTTTGGGGAATTAGAGCTCAGTACTCTTTATAGTGTCATTGAAGTTTGGGCTGAAAACTCAAGCAGACTCATCACCCCACTACTGTGGAAGCCAATTACAATTAATTACAATATGACCCCTATATCTGAGAATTCAGTACCTGCAGATTCACTTACCCATGTCCAAACAACATATTTTAGTCTATTTTCATGTATATATGGGCCTTTCTGCATGATTTCAGAGAAAAATTTGTCTACAAATTGCATCAATATTTTAAAAGCTTTTGGGGGGGAGGGAGTAGATGGCTGGGAGGTTTTAGGGGACTGGTGTGGGGACACAGGAACCACATGTTGCCCATGGGTAGCACAAGGTTGAAAATAGGTCCATTGTCTATTGCCATGAGATTTAGCGTTTTTGCTAGCATATATGTACATGGCTTCCCCCTTTATGTAAAGTGTTACTTTCAAAAATTTCATTACAGTGGTAACTATGCAGTGTAAATTCAGTCTAAGTAAAACAAACAAACACATTTGGGTTGTGTATGTTTTTTGTGTAAATATTGTCTAGGGCTGCATCTGCACTGCAGAAATAATGCAGTATGACACAGCTTTAACGGCCATGGCTCAATGCAATGGCATCCAGGGATTGGTAGTTTTGTGAACTATTTAGCCTTCTCTGTCAGAGTGCTCTGGTTCCACAATAAATTACAAATCCAAGGATTCTATGGAGTTATAGCAGTTAACTATAGATGTGGCCTAGGTCATAACACTTCTGGTTGAATTGCAACGAACCTCTCTTCTGAGTCCCTCTTAAATAAGGTACATATAAATTTCACTGCAAGTTTATTTGTATTCAGAAAGGGACAAGAGGAAGGGAAAGCATATTTTTGAGGCAACTTTGTCTAATTTCTGTTCAGTGGGAAAAGTATTTTTTTGAGAGAGAGAGAGAGAGAGAGAGAGAGAGAGAGAGAGGTGGTGATTCCAATGGGCGTGAAGCTGATGAAGTGTTTGCAGGATCAGAGACCTTCTGCTGGCCATGTTCCACAAGATCTCAAAGGAGGTAGCCAGCAGTCCTCTCACTTTCTGAGGATGTCACACCATTACTTTCCAATGATACTGTCAGAAAACAGTGAACACAATATTATAGTTTTCACTCAGAGGGATGCAAGTATACATCCCGGCACACACCATACTGAAAGCATTCAGAGTATTTCAATGACATTAGCTGAGCAATTATTCAGAGCCATTGTGGTACAGTGGCCAAAGTGTGGCCAGTGAGTCCTAGATTCAAATCCCCTATACCAGTAATGGTGAATCTTTCAGAGACTGAGTGCCCAAACTGAAAGGTGTTCTAGCACCAGATGTTACCTATGCCAGGGGTGGGACTTCTGGGGGCAAAATTTGCACCTTCTGGGGACGGGACCTCCTCTTCCCTTGCCTGGGCCCTCAGCTGCCTCTCTAGAGACATCTGAAGGTCAGTGCAGAGGAGGGGGGGGAAGAAGAGGAGCAGGTGTGCTCAGGTTAGACTGGCACCCTCCCTATTCTCTTTTTGCAAACAGGTGAAGAAGACCTTTCTGCTTCAACAGGCCTTTGAGGAGTGATTGTCTGGGCAGGATGGGACTTGTACAATGTGATGGGTTATTTTTTATTGGTTTGACTGTTTTTGATAACTCAATCTTTTCTAAACTGTCATATTTTAAACTATCCCCCCCCCCCCCCCCCAGAATCAAAGCTTTGGAAGGAATCTCATAGGCCATAGAGTCCAACCTTTCACTAAGTGCAGCAAATTCTACTAGAGGATCCCCAGGAGGTAAATTGCAAAACTTGCAAAGAGTCTCCAGTAATAGCTAGATTTATGTACAATTTATGTATTGACTGCAAATCCTGGGATTCCATAGCATTTAACCATGGCGGTTAAGGCAGTGTCAAACTGCATTATTTCTTTAGTGCAAACTGGACCCGAGAAAGCTACCTCCTTCCTTCCCAGTTGTTGTAATGCCAGGTCTCACTCTCTGTTCTGCTTTGCTCTGCATCTGCCTTCTGGACAGAAGCAAGTTGGCTAGATTAAATATTCCTTATTCCATTTCCCTTATTATGTAAGAAGGAATTATCCCTTCATTTCACCTTCATGTGGGAACACAATCTTTAGAAGAGATTTTTTTGATCTTACTTTCCAACACGAAAATATGTTTTGTATCTCTGTGAATGTTTAAATGGCAAGCTGTGAGCAACTGTTGTTTATACTAATGCTTAAAACATAAGGGATTATCGCACCTCTTCCTGACTTGGAAAATATGGCTGCTGCAGCATGTTTCCCAATTCACATTGGAGAGGGGATGCACCCAGATGGCTCTTTTAAAGGCAAAAGCCATGTGATTAGAACCAACACCAGTCCAAATTGGGGTCTAATTCACAAGGGGTAAACCGGGAGGAGGTGCAATAATCTCCTTAATGATATTCTCCCAGGTTTTGGCCCAGAAACCTCTGGGCTAGGATGTTGCTGAACTGGAAACCCTATTGGGGTGGAATTGAGGGAATGGGAATAATGTTTAGGCCTCTCTCAAGATGAATTGACCCTTCTCTTTGTGCCTGCTATTAATTTTTTTAAAATGAGCAAAATGGCTAATTTTGTAAATGACATATTGTGAGGCTACTTTTCAGCATTCTGAATGCAGGGAAATTTGAACATTTAATGCATGACCCTGGGATGCCAATCAGTGGCATTCCTGCACCGGGTGTCACCCCTCATTTTACTGCCACATGCCATTTTACTCCCGAGTAAACTGACATGTGGCAGGGAGGGAGTACCTGCCCTACCTGCTGAGTGCTGGTTTACTCGGGAGTAAAATGGCATGTGGCAGGCCCAAAGCATCTTCTCTCCCTCCCTGCCATGTGGTGGTTTACTCAGGAGTAAAATGGTGTGTGGCTGGCAAGGAGAGTGCCCAGAGTACCCTTCCTCTCTGCCATGTGCTGGTTTACTTTGGAGTAAAATGGTGTGTGGCAGGGAAGGGGAGTGCACTCAGCTGTGTGTCACCCCTCTTCTGGGGTATCACCTGGTGTGGTCCACACTCCTGTACCCCCTAGTGATGCCACTGATGCCAATGCCAATGCCAATGCCAAAGCTTTTCAGAAGAAAAGAGGACAAAAGTCTCAAAGTGCTTAGGGGAGGAATGAATGATTTATTAATAAAAAGTCCAACATGTTTTGGCCTGTATAAGCTATCAAAGGCCTTCTTTGGAAGCTGCTTGAAATTTTAACTTCAGAAAATTTATGGAGGTGAAATGCCAGATACTGAAAAAATTCTATAAATTCCTGAAGATGGTCTTTGAGACCATATAAAGGCTGAAACAATTTTTTAAAATTAATAACTCATCCATACACTGCATATCTTGGGTTGTGCTCATCGATCATGGATGAAGCAATTCTTGACATTGTTGTTGTGTGCCTTCAAGTCATTTCCAATTCATGGAGACCCTAAAGCGAACCTATCATAGGGTTTTCTTGGCAAGATTTGTTCAGATGAGATTTGCCATTCCCTTCCCCTGAGGCTGAGAGAGTGTGTCTTGCCCAAGGCAAGTGGGTTTCATGGCAATGCTGGGAATTGAACCCTGGTCTCTGGAGTTGTAGTCCGATACTCAAACCATTATGCCATTATGGCTCTTCAAATAGTGGAAGAAAACTGGGGAGAGAATTATGCGCTTTCAGATACATGTATTCTCATGCTTTCATTTGGCCTCAAGAAGCAAGAGAAGGAGGAACTGGCATGGGATAGTGGTTTCAGCATTGGACTACAACTCTGGAAAGTAGGGGTCAAATCCTCTCCCAGCTGTGGAATTGGCAAGTCATACAGCCTCAGAAAACCCTGTGAGGAGTTCATTTTAGGGTTACTATAAGTATGAAATCTGCCTTAAATCTCATTGTGGAAGAAAGGTGGGAGATAAATCTTTGAAAAAAATAATAAAGAAATATATGGAATGACTTGAAGGCACACAACCTCAAGGGAAGAAAAATCTTTCTCTACACTGAAAGGAAAGGAACAGCAAAATGAAGAATTTCTGATTTTCAACAGAAATAAATTTCACTTAAAAATTAGGAAGGTGGTAAGAGCTGTTCAACAACAGAATGAACTGTCCTGGAAGTTGATGGAGGCACCTTGATTGAATGGCAATCTCTCAGGAGTGCTCTAGCTATGGTTTCCTGCATGGCAGAGATTTGGACTACATGACCCTCGATGTTCCTTCCAGTGCTGTAATTCTGAGTTCAATATTCTGAACCAACTCTGAATGATCTGGAATTCTCCCATCTGACTTAATTATTTCTGAAAGGAAATTAATTATTTCAGAAAGGAAAGGAATAGCAAAATGAAGGATTCCTGATTTTCAACAGAAATAAATTCCACTTAAACATTAGGAAGATGGTAAGAGATGTTCAACAACAGAATGAACTGTCCTGGAAGGTGATGGAGGCACCTTGGTTGAATGGCAATTTCTCAGGAGTACTCTAGCTATGGTTTCCTGCATGGCAGAGAGTTGGACTACATGACCCTTGAGGTTCCTTCCAGTGCTGTAATTCTGAGTTCAATATTCTGAACCAACTCTGAATGATCTGGAATTCTCCCATCTGAATTAATTATATGAAACTGCATCCCTTGGGAAGTTTGGCATTTGATTTTTTTCTGTATCTGTTTATCTGTAATAGAGTCAATTGAAGAGGTCACCAGCAACTCTGTTAGTGAAATTATACTGGATCAGTTTCAATGTGTAAGTACCGATGATGTGGACCAGCTCCTTGGAAGTGTGAGGAAGACGACTTGCCCTCTCAATCCTTGCCCATCTTGGCTGGCCGTCCGGGGGGAGGGGGATGCATTGAGGCTTTTCCTTAGGAATATCGTCAATGCATCCCCAGGGAAGGTTATATTCCATCTTGCTTGAAAGAAATGGCTGTCAGGCCGCTTCTGAAAAAGCGTTCCCTGGACCCCCTGGATATGAACCACTACAGGCTGGTCTCTTTATTACCATTTTTAAGTAAAGTGATTGAGAGAGCAGTTGCTCTTCAACTTCAAGCTGTCTTGGAGGAAAGCTATTATCTAGACCCATTTCAAACTGGCTTTAGGACAGGTTTTGGAGTTGAGACTACCATGGTGGCTTTGGCTGATGACCTTTGTTTGAGCATCGACAGGGGTAGTGTGACCCTGTTGGTGCTCTTAGACCTCTCAATGGCTTTTGATACAATAGATCACAACATCCTCTTGGATCACCTGAAAAGGTTAGGAATTGGAGGCACTGCATTGCAGTGGTTCCGTTCCTTCCCCTCAGGCAGATTCCAGAGGGTGTTGCTTGAGGACAGTTGCTTCACAAAAAATTGTGGTATTCCTGCAAGGCGCCATCCTGTCCCCGATGTTGCTCAATATATATAAATGAAGCTGCTGGGAGACATCATCTGGAGGCATAGGGCTGGGTGTTATCAGTATGCTGATGACACCCAGATATATTTCTCCATGCCTCGGTCATCGGTCATGGCTTCTGATGGCGTCTCTCCTCTCAATGACTGTCTTAGAGCAGTAATGGGCTGGATGAGGAAAAACAAATTGAGAATGAATCCAGAAAAAATGGAGCTACTAACAGTAGCAGCCCTGAAATTAGGTATTGGGATACAACCTCCAGTCCTGGACGGGGTCCCCGTCCTTCTTCGCAAAGGACTGTGTTCTCAGTCTGGGGCTACTCCTGGATCCGTTGCTCCAGATGTCAAATCAGGTAAATGTGACGGTCAGGAGTGCCTGTTATCAGCTTTGGCTGATCCACCAGCTGCGCCCTTTCCTGGAAGTAAGGGATCTCGAAACTGTGGTACATGTGCTGGTGACCTCTCCTCTTGATTTCTGTAATGCACTCTACATGGAGCTACCCTCATGCTTAGTCTGGAAACTTCAGAATATGCACAGAATATGGCAGCCAGACTGGTCTCCGGCACATCCAGGTGAGACCATATATCACCTGTCTTGGCTGCCAATCAGTTTCTGGGATCAGTACAAGGTGTTGGTTATGACCTGTAAAGCCCTATATGGCTTGGATCCAACCTATCTCCAGGATCGCCTCCTTCAGTATGATCCACCCTGAACACTTTGGTCCTCTGGGAGGAATTTGCTTCAGCTGGTTAAAACTAGGCTGTCTGCAACCTCCCAGAAGGCCTTCTCAGCAACCACTCCTAGATTGTGGAACAGCCTGACAGACGAGATCCATCAGATTACCAGCTTAAACAGCTTCAAAAAGGCTGTAAAGACAGATCTCTTCTGACAGGCCTTTCTGGACTAGTTTTTCCCGGACTAAGGAGTGAGCTTACCCTATGACTACCCTCTGTCACATTCATAATCTGTTGCCTGCCTGCTATTATGATTTTTTTTAGATGTTATAGCTGATTGTTTTATTGTTTTTATTGTTTTATATGCTTGATGTTTAATGCTATTTTAAGGGGTGGGAGGGGGTTCTTTGGGATTGTATATTGTGACATTTTAATTTTGTAAGCCGCCCCAATTGCTTTGGCAGAGGGGCGGGATATAAATCATCATCATCATCATCATCATCATCATCATCATCATCATGTGGACTGGCAAAGAACTGATACAGATCCTGTTGCTTTTGCCTTACCCTTGACAGCATTTCTGTGTAAAACTGCATTTCCCTATGGTTTCAGAGCCACGAGGGCAGAAGAAGGAATAGCAACCACCACCATTATATCTACATTCTTCATGGGTCTTGATCTTTGCTTCGGCAACCCCTGTGGAAAGAAATGAGATGAGAATTTTTATGCAAAACAGGATGAAGGAAAGTTGGGTGAAGGCATGTGTAATACCTGTACGCAGTGGGGTCTTTATGGAAACTCAATTTCTTTCCCTGTAAGAGGAGGTGCTGAAAAGTTCTTGGCCTGACCAACTTTCCAAAATCTGAGCATAATTTTGTCACTATATCTTGAAAGAGCACTCTTTTCTAATGTACATTTCCAATTTGTAGGATTTTAGCTCTAATTTTTGTTTTTTCTCCGATCATTGATAGAACCATGTCAAAAACAAGTGTGAAAGTTTCAAGTGCTGAACTCCAGGCCATCATGAAGTTCCTGTTCTTGCAAAATAAAACTGCAAAGAAAATCCATGAATGTATGATGCAAACACTCAGTGATAAGTGCCTGTCATATTCAACTGAGAAGAAGTGGTGTGTCATCTTTCAGTGTGGAGATTTTGAGACTAAGCAAGGTCTGGGAGGCTTCAGCAGTGTCAACACTTGAAATTATTAAATGTGACCTGATTTTGGCAGATCGTTGAATCTCAGCTAAAACAATTGCTAAGACACTAGGGATATGCTAGAAATGCATTGGGTTTATCATTCATGAGCAGTTGGCTGTGGAGAAGCTGCTAGGCAAGTGAGTGCCAAAATGTTTGGATGCTGACCAGAAATGGAACCAAGTGGATACCTCCAAGTTGATTTTGCAGCATTTTGACCAATCTAGTAATATTTTTTGGAATGACTGTTGATGAAACATCCTGAGCTAGGCACAGGATGTAAACTTTAAACAAGGATTTTATTGAATGCTTCCATGCCCAGGCGGGAGGCATCCTGTACCCAATCATGACATCCCATACCTGATCTGGACTTCTCTCACTTTTTGAAAGGACAGGAGTTTCCCATTCTATGCAAAAGGTGTGGGAGAAGTCCAGATTGGGTATAGGATGCCATAATCAGGTATTGGATGCCTCCTGCCTGGGGACAGGGATGTGCAATAAAACACACATTTAAAAGTTTACATCCTGCACCTAGCTTGGGAGGAAGAACGGGAAAGCGCAATGAGATAATCTCCATGGTTATATCACTATGATCTGGAGACTAAGCAACAATCTTTGCAGAGGTGGCACGTGGATTCTCATTGCCAAAGAAATTGAAGACCAAAAGGTCAACAAAGTCATGGCACATTTGTTTGGGATGAGGAAGGCATTTTGATGACAGACTGTCTTTGGCAGGGCCAAACAGTTAATGCAGAATACTGTTCCAACTCACTGTGCTGATTAAAGGAAGCATTGTGAGAAAAACATTGAGGGAAGCTGTGGGAAGGTGTTCTTTTATTGCAGGACAATGCACTTGCTCACAGGGCTGATGGATGTTTTGAAGCATTTGGGGTTTGATTGCATAGACCATTCACCCTACTCAGCAGATTTTGCTCTATCTGACTATTTCCTGTTACCAAACTTTAAAAAGAGTCTGAAAGGAAGATATTTTCAAATGATTCAGAGGTGACAGGAGCAACAGAGCAGTATTTCAATGATGAGACATCAGATTTTTTTCTTTTTGGAAGAAACTGGAGAAACAATATGCCAAGTAGATTGAACTTAAGGTTAAATATGTGTAATAGCATGTAAGGGGGTTGCAGACTGCCAGAAATAGTGAAATTGATTCCACTTTTAGGGTTAGTGTTAGTGTTAGGGAATCATGGGAATTGTTTTTTTTTTCTGAGACATTGAGCCTTCTCTGTCAGAGAGCTCTGGTGTCACAATAAAATACAGTTCCCATGATTCCCTAACCCTAACCCTTAAAGTGGACTCAATTTGCACTATTTCTGGCAGTCTGCAACCCCCTTAAGTTTCATGACTCTAGGTAATCCCCTTCTTGGTTGGGC